AGGTGAACCTGTGCGCTCGCTCACTTGCTCTGCCACGCTTTCGTGTGAGGGAGACGTTCTCGGCACACGGGGCGGTGTGTGTGTGTGTGGGTGTGTGTGTGTGGGGGTGTGCATGTGTGTGTGTGTGTGGAGGTGGGGTGGTGGAGGGGGGAGATCTGCAGAGCACTGGCGCTGGGCCGTGTAATACAAAACTTCTAATGATTCTCACTGGTAAACGATTTGACCAGTAATGGACTTGCAACAACCTGCAACATGTTTCGGTGAGGGCACGGCTGCAAATCTGCTGGGGAAGTCTCACACTGAAGCATCTATACGGACGTTGATAAAGCTGCTCAGAAACTCCAAATACTGCCTGAGGGAGGCCGTGTTTTTCCTCGTCAACGACGGGCCGAGTGAGACCCGACAGAGCAGCTGGGACGAGCCGGATCTGCTGTGGTTCATTAGCTGCCCTTATTAATTCATGAAGCTCGATTCTGCCGGCCCGTTTGCTCTCCGCTGCCATTAAATGAGCACGCAGTCTGATCCATACGCAAACGTGCTTCTGATACCTCGTCAGCTTTCTAGTCATTTGCTTCATGATTCCTCCCAAAACACTCTCTGCCATCGCTGCCAATGATATCATTACCCAAAAGGTAAAGCTGGAAAAGCTGCTGGAAAGTTCGCCAAATGGGTAAACTGGGAAACCACGTGTGTCTGCAACCTCAGGTGTGCAAATGAGCGCCCTTCGCCAAAGCACTGGCTTTGAATACCTCACGATAACATTATGATGCCTCTCTAGTATTTTCCTATTTTTGTAGACTTTTGTTCTTTTTTGGAGGGTAGAGCTTTGCAATTTCGCGTAAAGTTTTTTGCTCTCAATTTTTCACTTATGGACCATTATTATTTTCCGTAACTGTGGAAACAAGAGTGTGGGGTTTTTTTTTTTCGCTTTTGTCCATTTACTTTTTACAATAAGGCACATCCTCAAAGCTCAAATATATATCTGAACTATGACCCCAAAATCCAGTGCAGTTTAAAAAGGAGACTTTGTGGATGGAAAAGCAGAGAGAGAAGGAAGACTTTCAAACCATCTCTCCAGTAGATAATAATAATAATAATAATAATAATAATAATAATAATAATAACAATAATAATAACAAGTGAGGAACATATCCCGGACTCCAATGTCTCTCTGGCGCGGCTTTCAAATCAAACGACCAGACAGAGGTTTAAAAAGGAGCAGCAAAAGCAAGTGAGGTGGATTAGCAGTGTTTGCTAGCAACCAATGGTGTCGTCCAGGACACGTTGCTGTGGAATATCATCTCTGCTGTGCTGATACCGAGCTGTTGTCGTGTCACCAGGGTCATGGGACTGAGATACAGCAGAGGGCTTGCAGTCAGAGGAGTTTTCAGATCACAACACTGACTGCTACAGGAGTGAATCACCGTCCACTGTGAAGATACTTGAGCAATATGATTTACAACATTTAATTTTCCTTTGAGAGTCTTTTTATTATTATTATTATTATTTTATGGTCTTCTGGTTTTGTTTACATCGGACACTCCCATGCGACCGACCTAGTGACGGATTCATCCCACTTAAGGAGAGAGTATGGAAAATAACAACGAAAAAAAAGCTGACAAGAATTACAAATGCAAAACCTGCAGAGACAGACACACAGATTCCTACAAAGAAGACAACCAGTTCACACTCCACGCTCAGATTCGGGCCTTCCTCCTCAAAAGGGGGAGATAATGGACCCAGCTATCAATTCAGACCCAGGGTTGAAGCTGCATGTGGCCTTCTCAAGACATCTGACTCTTTTCCACGCTGACAGCCAGAGAGCCTCTGGCATCCCCCCCTCTAGCCCCCCACCTCCTCCCTCCTCGCATAGATTTCAACACCGGTCACGTCATCGGATCGCCATCCAAACGCCAGCCGCCAGCCTGCACTCATGTATTCCCTGTGCAGAAGGGAGTTATTTCTCCCTGCCTCAGTGCGTGCTTTGTCGCGCAGAGACGTTGCGAAAGGGCGCCTTCATTTGCACAGACAGCGAAAGCGGATGTGTGAGGCAGCCCCCCCCCCTCCCCTCCCCTCACACACACACACACTGCACCCCACTGCGCCCCCTTCACATAATGTGTCGGAGAAGCGAGGAGGAGGGAAGAGACGATCAGTCAAAAACCAGGGGGAATAAATCGGCCTGCGAGGATGATTTTGACAACAGGAAGAGAATATCCTGGTTGTGTTTTCATGTTGTCAGTAATGTATTGCATAAGCTCCCCCTCCTCCCCCTGCTTTCCTCGGCGCTCTCTCTCTATTGCATCTGTAGGGTCTACCTGAGACTACGGTCCGCAGGCTGATGCTCTCTCTGCGATCATTCCCATCTTTTCTGCACACTGAGCGCAAAATGTCACCCAGCCGGAGCTGGCTCCCCCCCAATACCCCCCATCACCACCACCACCACCCCTCCACCTCCCAGCCTCTATACACACACAGCTTCTTTGCGGAGTCGACTTACCCTCTCTGGCTTTTAGCAGTACAGTGTTGGCTACTATGTTCTCCAGCTCCATCAAAAAGAGAAAAATCCTAAATGCTGAGTGCGCGCGCGGAGTGGGGGGGACGACAGGGGATGGGGGAGAGAGAAAGAGAGAGAGAGAGAGAGAGAGAGAGAGAGAGAGAGAGAGAGAGAGAGAGAGAGAGAGAGATTGGGTCGCTGGAGCTTCTGCAGAGGAAAAACAGCGTCCTTCAGCCGGTGCCGGCGACGGGGATCGTTTCCTTCACTCCTCGTCGAGATCCGAGCAGGTCTCTCTCATATCAAAGTCGTGAAGGGTGAAACGGGATGCCGCGGGTTTGCTTGCAGTGTAAGTTGGGCATGGTTCTTGTTGTGGGCTGGACGTGCAGCGCTGCATTTCTACTCCAGTCGCCCCAAAACCATTCCATGCGCAACGCGGGCGCGAAATGATGTCCGCGGCGGAAAGCGGCCAACTCGGAGGATCTCGACGCCAGCCAATCTGGGGTTGTCTCGGCGGACGCTTTACGCCGACGCGCCAGAGTAGCACCAGCTTTACAACGGCACAGGTTGGCTGAGTGCACCAGAGAGGACATCGGCTCGGTCCCCCTCCTCCTTCTGCTGGTGCGTAATCAGCGTAGGCTGGGCCTCTCCGCCACAGCCGCGTCAAGCTGCAGGCATTACAGCCACCGGATTGTGCATCAAAATAAAAGCACGCACAAATGATACAAATACATCTGGACTGGGCCGGGTTTTAGAAAAGTGGTCAGAGGGGCAGGGAGAGGGCCCCAAACATTTTTGTTTTTTTAATTAATGCGTATAATATATTGTGCTTTATATGAAACGCATATGAGATGCATTGATTTAATATTTGTGGATTTTTGTGAATGTGAATAATAATAAAGTATTTGAAAATTATGAAGTCATAGTAAGTTGTTTGGGGAACAACATGGAGCTGCTGCATTAATTCATCTCCAGCACGACCTACACATGCATTGTTTTCATTAGTAGAAGAACTTCTCCGTAGTGGATATGGCACCAAACTGACTCCAGTACAACATTACACCCTGCAGGAAAAAGGTGACAGGCCTGGAGGTGCTGAAAGTCATGACAGTGACATACAGAAGATGTAAGCGAAGTGTGAGCTGCAATCAGCACTGAGGTCAATGCTGGTCATTCTGATTATGAAGCAAACGATGGAAACGCTTGTCATGTTCCTCCAAGCAAGATAATCTATGTCCAAAAATGGCAAAATGCGTCAGTCTTCATCTCCATGTGAACTCCAAGGAAACTATGTGCTGAAAACATAATAAAGACAGAACCGGGGCCTACGAGTGTGGCAATAAATCATGTCTGAGGTATCAAGTCATGTCAAATGTCATTTAAATCCTTCATAAAAAATGCATCATCTATACTGGTGTCACAGCAATCAAACCCTTTTACTGTCTCCATAGTATTTTGACAATTTATCTTTGGCTCTGAGCTCCAATGTGTTGAGGCCAGAAGGCCTCTTTGTCATCACCCTCATCTTTAACTTGATCCACAGATTTAAACTGTGGCTCTTGCTGGTTGCTTTGTTTCAGTCAAAGGAAACATGTTGGTTAGATTAGAAGTTTTATTTTAGACATAAATCTGACACATTATTTGAATAATTTTGGACTTGATTCTATGTTATAATTCTATGCCCATTAACATCACGATGTTAATGGGCCTTTAAAAAAAAAACTGACATCCTGACACTCATGGGTCTTGAAACTAAAGCTGGTTAATGGCCATTTTCCTTAAGTGCTAAAGCAGACAGATTTAATAACAGTTTTGAAACTTCCCACTTCGATCCATACCCTGAGGAATCTACAGCTCAGCACATAAGTCTTTTTTCTGTTGATGTTGTGATGTAAACGCTCCGTGCTTGAATGCCAGCGTGGAGCTTGAAAATGGAATGAGCAAAGACAGCCGTCGTCTAATGTGCATCATTATCTCCATTGTGTACCTCTTTGTCTTATTGATGAATTATGTAAAATGACAAATGATTGGGAGTGACTTTTCCTCTAAGATTGATTTGTTGGAAACGTGCATTGATCTTCGTAAATGTAATTTCTCAGGGGATCCAGGGATGATTTAGGACCAGGGGCTATTAGCCATCACTTCGATCGCACTTAATGCTACTTCCTTTGTTGGCATCACATGTCAAGCCAGGGTTCTACCTCGGTCCTTATGGGAAGGGGCCTTTGCAGCCAGCTGCAGAGAGATGTAATGGAAATAACTGCTAAATCATTTTAGATCGGACTTTTAACTTCTGTTCTGCCTTAAAACAGAGCCATCTCACAGTTGTAAAAGTATTCAAACGCCTTTAAATTATTGATATTTTCTCTCTTAACTATAATTTTGGATGTGTTTTATTGGAATGTTGTGTTAAATCTACACACTGCAGTGAATTAATTGTAAAATAGAAACATCCATAATTTTCTAAACTCAAGCTCCTTTGCTCTGAGAATCTCACCGTCTGTCTTCAGAAGATACATATTTACAAAACAGAATGCAACACTGTGTAATTTAATCTTATGATAAATAAAGACGTCCTTTGAAGATCTCAGATGTTTCTTAGGGAACATTAGAGAAGAAACAGCATCATGAAGATCATGAAGAGAGGCCAGGGAGGAAGAATGTAATGAAGCCATTTGATTCAGGCAGACCAGACTACAAACTGCTCCAAAAGTTTGCAGGACACCTTCCTGTGAGAACTGGAGCTCGGGATCCCTGACATAATACATACAAGAGGCCTGTGGTAACTCTGGAGGAGCTGCAGAGATCCACCGCACCAAAGGAAGTCTGGCAAGGATAAAGTTTACTAAAGAGGTGTGAAAATATATGCATTAATGTTTTCAAATATTTTACCAAATTAGGCAAAAAATACTTACACTCGTCCCTTCAAATTATAATAAAAAAAAACCTATTACAAAAAAAACTGAAATTAAGCACCAATTCGCAACTTTTATTTTGAAGACGTGAGGAAATCACATGCTTTATAAAGTTACTTTAACTTGCTCAGGGAACCTTTCCTTCACAGACAGGCTGTGTGTCTCAACCCTGCATTAAACAAGTTGTGATGCTAATGACATTAAACATATTGAGCAGCGGAACAGGGCAAAACCATGTGGCAGTGGCAATAATTGGTTTAATAGTAGGCTGCACGCAAAATACGTCTCCCGCACGGGAGCTCTATTACATGATCATTAGTCCAGACAATTAACAGGCAGATTATAAACTGATGATGGCAGACAGGATCGATCTGTCCGGACGCGCCATGATCTCTACAACAGGACACCGGCTGTCTGATCCACTGATCTGCCTTAATCCAATTGCCACAGTGAATGATGCCTTTTGCTTGTAGATCTGCAAAGTCCCTTGTAGGAGGTCACGCTGCAGGACGCGCCCTGGTTATTCTAAAAATAAGCTGCTTTTATAGCAATGCATACATCAGGGACAGAGGAACAATGAGATGATGTGATTATACGTTTTCCCAAGCAGCTCCCGTAATGACAAACTAATCATTCGTTTATTTGAGAAAGTAGTGCTCATCATTAGCAGACGCAGACATCCTCAAACATGAAAGCTCACCATGTTGTAACGAAATACAAAGTGCTTTTATATACTCAAAACTACTAACAGTAATCTGGAAAAACAATTTTTTTTGTACTTTACTGCCATGATCTCACAAAACTGAGGTGAGCTGATCACATTTTCCTTCAAATACGTCCAATAAAAATCAACGAGTACAGTAAATGGATGCAACTTGATAATTCTGCCCACAAAACACTAAACTCCTCGGTTCAAAGGTACAAGTTACAAGTCCGATACAAACTGAGAAAAAAAAAAAAAATATGGAAAGCTGCTTTAGTACTCGTCCAAGTTATCCGCTTTGGGAATGGAGAGGCCTCGGTCCTTCAGGACCTGCATCTTGACTTTCTCCGTCTCCTGCTTGGCTTGCTGCTGCAGCCGCTGCTCCTCTAGGATCTCTTCGATGGAGACCTGCTGCAGGATGGTGTCGCAGGGCTTATCCACGTCCTACAGAAAGACACACACTCCACGTCACCTTCAACTTTACTAAAGATCCACACGTTATATTCTCTGCTACTTCAAACACCGACTCCCCAACTGTTCTGCAACTAATGTTTCAATAAAGGGAGCCAGCAAAAAAAATTATCAGCAGCATTCATACCCGTTTACCAGCGATTTTTAAAAAATTAAATAATGAGAAACACATAACTGATTAAATTAACCTAAAATGGTAAATGACACTAAATTAGACAAAGCTCTAAATCAAAGCGATGATCATGTTATCATCACATCCATACACTTGATCTCGCCTTAATGTAAATAGGTTATACATTAAATAGAACTGGGATTCATGTAACAGTAAATACAGGCAGAACAGTAACTGCCATGTTTACATTTTTTTATCGTAGCAAAAAATCTCATGTCAAACACGATTAATTTAGCACATTTACTTGAACACATGTCCACCCCCCTGCTCTCATTGGCGCCCCCTGCTGTTCAGATTTTGTACAACAACCCATGTGACAGAAGAACGGTTGGAGCATAGTGAGAAATCTTAACTACTCCTCTTTACACAATCTGTTTAGGTCACCAGAGTCCTTGGTTCTCTATCTTGCTCTCTTCAGCTCACTCACAAGGCTTTTTGTTTTGATTTGGGACTGTGATGACCTTGGAAGAAGGTTAATTTTTGCCTGGTGTTCCATTTTTGCGTCGTTTGGCCATATGAATCGAGTCATTATTCTGTTGAAAGGCCAGATGATGCCCCATCTTCACTTTGTTATCAACACAACAGATATTTTTTTGCATCCTTGAATGTCAAGCAGTCCATGAATCAACAAAATCTTAACAAGATTTCAATGGGCTTTTGGAAGAGAGCAGATCTTCCACAACAAATGACAATCGACATGATGTGATTTTCCACAAATTTATCTTTAACACTACACACACAGACCTGCAGTGTGTGCTGCAGAACAGCTCAATCTTAGCCTCATCCAACCATGGTTCCAGTTAAAAATTACAGTTGAGTTACATCCAGCATGTTGGAGAAACAGCTTTTATTTTTAGACCCATTTCCTAGTTTAATAGTAGCTCTAACAGTATATACAGACCAAGTTTAGCTTAGCTGCATTTTTTCCCCTTAATAGACATTTTCTGATTTACACAAATGTATGCAGCCCCATAATGTTCAAAAAAAAAAAAAGAAGAAGAAGAAGCCTGTTATCTACTCTTTCACATTTTGAAGCATGTCTAAGGGAAATGTTCCTGTGTGTCATGTCACATTTTCACCTCAGTAGAAAACTTCATTAATTTTCAAAAAGCCAGGATTACAAATAAATGCTTCAGTTACATTATGTTTATATGAATGAAGTGTTAGGAGTAACATTTGTAACTTGTATTTCTTTATGTGTGACTGTTTTCTGGCTGAATAAATGTAGTCAAAAGAAAAGCTGGATTTCTTTGTCTGCATTTCTCTGAGAGATATGAAGCTCACGCAATAGAAAAACAAGTTTATTTAAAGGCTTTTTACACATCTTTATCAGGGGAGATAAAAATAGTGGAGGGCTCTGCATGTTTGCTACTAACAGTAGTCATAGAAAGCATTCTGAAGCTAATGTAATAGTACAGGCTGTATTATTGCCAGTTCACGTTTAGGACTCAATACATGATGTACATTTAGAGTGTGACAAGCGTCTGGCTCTATGACTCATCCTGGCTCTGTGTGTTGGCCTAGAAGGTTGTTTGTCTCTGTAGTGCGGTCCAAAATCAGTCTAGAGGTCAGTATGTCCTGGACAAGAAGAAATCTCTACTATTTTCTGTTTTCAAAAGTGTCATGTTTTTGGTCTTACTGCGCTCACTTAAAGTATGTTCAATATTTGAAAATAAAATCTTCTTCTGTAGGGTTTGGACATTAGACTAAGTGTTTTCAACTTAGTTTTTAAGTGCCTTACATGAAGACTGATTACAGGAGAAATAAAAGGATATTTTCTTAGCTTTTTAAAGTTACTAACTTTAAGACATTTAGTTGTCCTATGGGGTAAATAAATATTTTGTTTCATTATTAAATTTGAACTGAAACTGTATATTTTGGCAAAGAAACTTTTGAAAATATTCCTACATCAGTCCTCCAAATGAGGTGTTTTGATAGACACTTATTGAATAAACTGCACTAAGTGTTTAAATACAAGTTAAAACGTATATTACGTTAAATCTATTCTTTTACAATCAAGTAAAAAAACACACAAAAAAACCTCATGAAATCATGATCACCTTTTTAGCCACAAAACAAACTTATGTTACAGCATCATCATTGCCACCTGGGGATATTTTTCATCTGGGCTTGAGTAAAATGAGCCTAACACTTGACCTGCAGCGTTTGTTCGGTTTAATTTCACCAGTTTGCATCGCAGTAACAAAATGAGTAGAGTGAGAATGCCAGTACCATCTCTCCAAGCAGAACCACATTTTCCCCTCTCACGATGAAGATGCCTCTCGGGATGTCTCCAAACTTTTTCCCCACGTGGATGCGCTCCACCGTCTGGTGAAACACCAAATTGGCTGAGAAAAACAAAAGCAGGACGCACGTCAGAGAGCTGTCGGTAACAGATGTGCGAATGGTGAACGAATGAAGCAAACCGAACTGATTCGACTCGATTATCTAGTGTGAAGAGAAAACATGAATAAAAGTGGAGCTGGTTTGAAGAAGCTGTACCAAACTGGTCGATGCTCCTGAGGTAACCAATCAGAGTTCTGCCATCTCGGAGCAACACCAGGTGCTTTTCTGCAGGGGAGAACCGGACACCGAGCCGAGCATTAAATCACACAATCAATGTGCATACAGGTATTTCTCTTCAGAGAAGCATGATATGCTGAGTAAATGAGGAATAACTGATGCTTCCGGCTTACTGTCGATGTCGTCAATGAGGCTCGCCGTCCCTGGCACGTAGTTCATCTTGAGCTTCGGTATTTTTCACTTCCAACACATTCATTTATAGTCAAGCCATGAATATTTCAGAATTTGTTCCTTTTAACATCTGCGCAGGAAATGCCCTCTTCTTCTACTATTACTTGACTGAGGTTGCCGTCATTCGACTTGCACTAGCGCCACCTGCTGGTTCAAGGAGATGGTACTTGCTGCTACAAAAGTGAGCAAATCTTCACTTGCTCGTAGTCATGAATGTCTCACTACGAAAATGAAAGAAAAAAAAAAACTACACCAGCATCTTAATATTACACTATTTCCTCATTTTTAAATTTCTTTTTTTTTCTTACCTGGTATATGCATTCCCTCTGCAAAATGGGGATGTAGAGTTAAAACTACATTCCCATTTTTGTCTGAGTACTTAATTTCCAGACAAAAAATTAAGAGTGATTCCATAAACATTTGTAAAAGTAGGGTTCGGAAAGGAAAGAATAAGCAAGTTTGTTGAATTTTCTGACCCCAATCTACCACAATAGTGTTCAATTAATCGACGTGGAGACTATGGGAGGGACTATGGGAGGCATAAATTCCCACGCACCCCTTAAACCTGGTGGAAAATGTTGAAGATTTAATATCTCCAGTGGTTTGGTCAACAAAATATTAAACGCCATAGAACAAAAATAGAATATTACACTGTTACTCATATTCCCATAAAATAAAATGTTTAATGTATATCAAACTTTTCAAAGACAGACCCCATCAAAAGACATGCTAAAATAATGTATTATTAAAATAATATAGTTTGAGTCTATTTTGGATTCTTATCAGCTCTTCAAAGACTCTTTTGACGTAGACGTGCCTCCAAAGATCGTTTATAGGCGACTGATATTGTACAGTTTCATAAGATTAGTTTTAAAAAAAAGTATTTGAGGAAAATACTTATCATGTAAGCACAACAAGGTGGTACTGATAATTTTACATTTCTGTTATTGCAATGTGAACACATTTAGAGTACATGTTAAGGCTGATCACTCTGTAAAGATTTCCACGATGCCATAAAAATGCGTCAGAGTGAAACATCTTAATATTTTGTTCCCTCTTTGTGCTTAAAGAGACAGGCCAGTACTTCCCTTTGCTTCGCCTGACTATCGTTTCCCGACTTTAATCTGACGACCTGCACTTCCGCGAAGGAACTGGGAATGCTGACTGCTTAAATAAGTATCGCTGTGTTAGTTAAAGGTTTTTTTTCTTTACAATGACAGATGACGGGACGGCTGGCCGCAAACGCTCGTAGCTAAAACATCACCATCAAATGCAGTCAAATCTGAAACCTGACTGGCCCTCGACTTGTAACTCGGGAAATAACCACGGAAACTGGAACAGCGCTATGGTGAGTGAATGAAAACGGTCTAAATAGTCATATTTGCTTTATAAAAAGCAATGTAATGTATTTAATATCAAGAAAATAAAACCTAGGGGAAGTAGTGTTTGATACCGAAGTGGCTTACGTAGAGAGCTGTTAAAGTATTAGCTGCACAGCTAACTGAGCTAGCTGGCATTATGTAAGAGTTACAACTAGCTTGCTTTTACAGCTCCTGTTTAGGTTTTGGCTTTTTCACGAGACATGACCTTCGTGTTAGCAATATTTAATCTGACACGTGAGTAAATTTAGTTTAGCTGCAGCGTATGAAGACTTTGTCCTGAACCCGTCCGGCCAGTAATTGAGCCATTGTAATTGTTAAGTCAGACATTGTTTGTTTAAGGACAGGCAGTCTGACTGTGTCAGCTACCACTTCCTGTTAAACGTTAATGTTCTGCTTTTTCTTTCCTGTATATTGCATTTACAGGATGCTCCCCAGTACCCAGCTTACCCTTCACATTACTGGTATCCACAGTCTCACTCCACCGGACACTATGCAAACACTTATCCCTCGGGATCAGATGTTCAGCAACAGTACAATCCGCAGGTACAGCTCATTATGCAACACAACCCGACATGCCTTGGTCCAAACGAGTTGATCTTCCCAAGTCTCTCCTGAATGCTTTTCATTTGTCTCATATTTATATTACGGCTACATAAAACTGCACATTTCTACAAAGAGTAAATCTATTCTTTGCTTTGGTTAAAGGTAATGCCAGGAGGCTATCCAAACGGCCATGGAGTCTACAACACTGCACAAAACCAGTATCCAGCGAGTGGTTTTCATCCATCCAATCCTTTCTACTGTGCTGACCCCCAGAGAAGTTCCTACCCTGGGCAAGGCTGTCCGGCTGAGCAGAGCGGTGGGCCTTCGGGCCAACCACACACCCAGCACCAGCATCATCATTATTCTGGTCCGCACTGTCAAGGGGTGAGATGATGCTACACCTGAAATGCATGAATCAAATCAGTTTGCTATCTAGTTCTGAACAGACGAGTAAATGGGGTGAGGAATCTCCTAGATTTGTGAGAAAAATATTGGATAAAAGTAGGGCGGAAACGATTCCTTGAGAGATTTGACTACTTCGATTATTAAAATTCCTCTAGGAAAATGTATCTGCCTTGAAGCTTTAAGTTATATTTTATTATTTAATACACCTGTTTCTGCCGGGTTATTATTTGCGCTGCGCAGCGCTCTCACTTCCGTCTGAATTGTTGACGGGAGCCAAGTGGAAGCAGCGTAATGTCCAGATTTCAAGTTCGGCCGTGGGGATTTTATTGATCGGTGATAATGTCTGGGTCTTTGTTGTTTATCGGGGGACCAATAAGCATCCTTAAAATGACTGGTGCGATGCCTGGAGTTCGGCAGTCTTTTTTTCCCGCATGGGGGCGCTGCAGGTGTATTTATGCAGGTAAGTGGATAGGCTGAAAGCTGCGGGCGACTGCGCATGAGATGCAAGTGTAGCTTTATGGACGAACCGGAAAATGTTATTTTATATCATCGGAGTCTCAACAAATGTGTGGCTGAGCTCATCGTGGAGGAACGTAGCTGGTCGATGTTTCGGTGTGAAGGTATCAAATCCCGTCGCTAACATGAACACAAAAGCTATAAATGTTTGGGCAAAGTGAGAGTTCATCTGTTAAACTGACTAGAAATGAATATTGGCATTTTTTATAAGCGTATTTGTGAGCCTTTCTCTTTATGATTGAATTGAATATAATTTCAGATTTTTGTATGACTTTTCTTCAGATTAACTCAGAAAGTGAGCTGCTGTTGTTACAGGTTAATTTTCTAAACTGCAGAAAAGTTATTGTTAGGGAAGCTCAACTGTGAAAAATTGGACCAATGCTGATATGTGATAGTAATACTGCTGTTTTGTTAGATTAACCAATGTTCTATTTTATTATTTTTTTTTATCCAATTACTCGATCAATCATAAGAATAATTGATAGATTACTTGATTACTAAAATATTTGCTCACAACGGCCCTAGATAAAAACAAGGTGCATAATCATAACTTCAGTTCGCAGTTCAGATTTTCTAACAGCCTGAGACGAGCTCCGTAGCGTGGTGCTGGATTTGCTTTTAAAGTTTGCCTGAAGGCAGCAGGTGAACGCTTATGAACTGTATGGGAGCAGTCAGGCTTGCTTCAGTTTTGTCCTAAGAGAAAACCTTATCCTTAAAGTCATATTGATTTCCATACAAATGTGTTCATCCGTGCAATACTGAAAAGATGTTTTAAAAACCAACTTGTGTTTGCTGCTCCCTCAGGGTCCTGGATACCCATCTGGACCTTACTCCCACTACAGTGAAGGTGGACATGCTGTACCTCCTAATCCCCCCTATCCCACTGGGCAGCCGCTCCATCCCAGCCCTCAGGGTGATGCTTGGGGGCACACAGGGCCATATGCTCCCTCACAGCAGCAATGGCACCCAGGGCAGCAGCCTTCACAAAACCACTATGGAAATCATGTCCGTCCAGCATATCCTCCAGCATGGCCAGGAACTGGAACTGGTGCTCCACCACCATATCAGCCCAAGGTAAGAATAACGGCAGTCAATTTGTTGAGATACATTCAGCATATTGCGTAAATACTCTTACTTATTTTGTCACATCACGGCTACAAAGTCTCTTTGAAAGAGGGATTCATGCAGTAGCTCAGCTTATTTATTAAGCAAAAGCCAAATATACTGAGGTTTCAGGATTTGTTTCACATTTGTGTTTAGCTCCTCCTGCTCGGATATAGACCCCTATAGGTCAGACTTAAATATTGTAGATGTTTGAAAGAGGCTTAGGATATAAAAAGTATCAGAAGCTTTGACTTTTAAATGGAGAACTGTTCAGTCATCCACAACTCTTTTAAATTTGTTTTAAAGTGGCAAAGGAAAATTCCTTGTAAGATGGATGGAACTAAATAAAGGATGACTCGAAACCAGTCAGAGACCAGAAAAAAGTGAGGGTTCATTTTCTACACGTAGTCAAAAGTACAATTAAATAGTTTTGATGAAAGGGTATTAATGTGTGAAACTGTGCAAAGTTCAGACTTTTATTTCTTTGGCAATATTTAAAAAAAAAATCAAGCATTCATCGTCCAATCTGACTGAGTTTAAACTGTTTGCAGAAAAAAATTGGCAGAAATGTTTTTCTAGATGTGCAAATCTTGTAGTTTCATACAGTAGAAGGTATGACTGAAGGGACGATTCCCCTGACTGCCTTGTCGGCCCCCTTTCTCTTTTCACATAATGGTACTAGCCCATATCCTCACGTGTGATTGGCCACAAGGCTGCAGTACTTCTGATCAAACCAAAGAATGTTACCACAGGGGCCTTGTTTCATTGGCTGATGCCCATTCTGCTAGTGGTATGTCTACCACGTGCATGGCCATCTCACAAACACAAGCTAATGTACATGCATTAGTAAACACATGCTAATGCAGAGCCAGAATACATTGTGGACTAGCAGAAAGTTTTTGCATCAACAATCGAAAAAGAATGGTTCTCCATTGCCAGTGGGGTATCTGTACTGGTGATGTCAGGTATCCTGATCGTATTTGTGGTAGTAAAATTCACAGATTTCCAAAATCAGAAACAGAATGCCTTGCTTGGATCAAAGCTTGTGCACAAATACATGAGCAGCTCAACCTTCCTAGGATTAACAAGAGCAAAGGAGTGTGTGCTGGTGTAAATATTATTGATTTGCTTTCTTTCTGACTGAAAAAAAAGAAAATCAATAATGAACACCTCCATCATGAACACCTTTTAGCTAAGTACAGCAAAATGGCAGTACTGATCCTAATTCTACACATTAAAGCTTGTCTGCTGCACAGCCTTACGTTAGCTAAACAGATCAATATGCAACGTGTATCTGACATACAGTAAAGATTTTTATTTTAGCAGAAAAGGCCTTTGACTAAACTGTTACAAGTTAGCCACTCCAGTGTATCAGGCCTGGGCACACTCAAACATTTGCCAACAAATCACAGGAATCACCCGCTGATTTCAAAAGTAATCTACAAAACGATGAATGCCCGACTTACCCAGCCTTGCAAGACCAATAGGCATCAGTGATCTTGTCCACAGCTATATTGATGCTGAGGTTTATCACTGCCGTTTTCCTCATCGACCGAAAGCGTTGTGCTGTGACGTGCACAATGTTGGAGCATCGTGGTTCAAACACCTTGATGTCATCCAAAAGAGATGACATTTACATTGTTAGTTCCTCTGTCCATTGTTGTAGCTGATATTTGGTGAAAATCCGAGCATAAATTATGCAATAATCGACTCAGAAATACTCTTATCAGTTCAAGTGGAATTCCCCATGTTTACATAGAAACAAAGCGCCGCGAGGCTTTGTTTGTGAGACTTTCTGGGTCGGTTGTGGGCGGAGCTTGGTAAGGTCCAGAGCGGAGCCACTGACAGAGAGCTGAGCAGCTAAAGGCTAAAAAACAAAACAAAACTGAGCGCTCGCTTGCGATCTCTCTCTCTCTCTCTTCCCCCTCAGCTGGTTTCTCGCCTTCCATTTCTCATGTGGTGCTGCTCTGTTTGTAGCACAACGATCCCTCCCCTACGCTGACGAACGGCTCTCGGTGAGGAGCCGTCGTTCATCTCAAAGAGCCGTTTGTTTCGCGACCGAAAGTATCCAAGATGGCGTCGCGGCAGAAGCGCCATGGTTGCATTCCACACTAAAAAAAAAAAAAAAAGAGAACGATGCCAGGGCCAATCACAATAAAAGGACGCATGCATCACACTGTTGGCCAGAAAGCACACAGCTGATTTGTACAATGTATTTGACACGTTGCTTAGCAACGGCGGTGACTCTTGAGGGGGGAGCTTCGAGCACACCGTTGTCTGCCATAAATGTCCCAGGTAACATTTCCACCTGCTCACTGTATTAATGCTAGCGCCTGCTTTTCACCTCATATCAGCGTTTATAGTCGTCTTCTGTAAAATGGAACATGGGTTCCGATGGGACTCGCTTGTCAGAAGCACAGTTCTGTGTAAGCCGGTATTGCACAGATGTTTCATTTGACCCATCTTTCTGCATTAAAATACTTTTCTGATGTAATATTCTAATTTTAAATGTTGTGTTTTCATTAGTAAGCCAAAAGCTATTCAGCATCAGTCTGTGTGGTCTTAATCAATATAATATTGTTCACATGCGAGCCGAGTTAATGGAGGGCATTAACCTTTCCTTAATATTTAGATTTATTTAACAGGTTGTGGGGGTTGACCAGAGTGATGCTCTTTCTCATTTTTAGCTCCCTCTTTCGTGGATCTAAAATGGCACAGACGAAAAGTAAACGATACCTGAGAAGGCGTTTTTCCTCTGCTGGAGATGTCTTGAAATTTGGCTGCACACAACCCGTTGTGCAAAAAGTCGCATTTCATGTTCAAATGTTTATTCAACAGAAGGATTCTTTAAGTCGGCTTTAATTTTGTTTGAATCAAATGCAACGTGATGCATAATTTGAATTATTTTCTAATTTAATGAACGTCAATAAGGGATTTATGCTAGGCTAAATTCTAGTCCATTCCCATCTTTAGGTTTTAGTGTTGATTCAAAGGAACTCAGTGTTTCACAAGTTTTGCATTTTTATGGAAGTTTGTTTTTTCATGTTTTGGTTCTGATTCTGGGGATGTAGAGTAGAACCAGAAAACCTTAGGTGATACAACAGAAGATTTTTAATGTATTTTGGTACTATGCCATTCAGTGATTTATTAACCAACAAAAGTATTTTAAAATCTGTTCTCTGAGCTACAGGGAGCCAGTGGCAGGACTTTAAAACTGCTGGTGCCCATTTCCAGTGAACGTTTTGGGCGAGAGGCAGGGTTCACCCTGGACAGATGACCGGTCTGTCACAAGGCCCGTCTTACTTATTTTTGTCCCTTTTTTTCCCCCAATGGGCTAAATACAAATAAATACTTTTTGATTTGTCATATTTATATTTGTAAAGAATAAAAGAATTACATATAATTGTTAGCCCACTTAACAATTCATCATCGTTTGATATTGATTTATTACAGAAATTGGCAAACAAAATGCATTAGTTTAGTTGTAACATGACAAAATGTGAGAGGAGTTTGAATATTTTTGTATGGTACTTAAGAAATTATTCTTTGTTCTTTTTTTTTTTTTTTTTTTTGAAACAATATTTTTCTAACTGCTGTTGTAAAGCTTAAATACACTGTGTTTGTGGCATTGTAGGACCAACAGCAACAGCGAACCCCTCAGGTGGGACCTAAACCCAGGTCAGCTCCAGCCCCGAATCCCCCCAACGGAAAGCCCACTGAAATAAGCTCACCTCCACAGATTTACAGCAAAGTTGGGCGGAGCGATCCCGGTCCTTCTCAGCCCGAGCCCCAACCACCAACCGCTGCGGTCGGACCTCAGCCGCTGAGCGACAACCCCGGGCTCGCCAAGGTCCAGCAGGTCATGGCCCGGGTTCAGCTGCTTCAGGAAGACGTTGACGAGTTTGTCGGGAGAAAAACGGACAAGAGCTACCGGTGTCTGGAGGAACTGCTGACCAAAGAGCTGCTGGAGCTGGACTCTGTGGAGACTCAGGGACAGGAGACTGTTCGACAAGCCCGCAAAGAGGCCGTGCAGAGAATTCAGGCCATTCTGGACCAGCTGGAGAAGAAAGCTTTCTGAACAAAACCTTATTTATCTGCCTGTTACTTGCTTATTATTATTTTCTTTGCTCAGATCTTCCATGGACAATCGGAGGTGTTTAGTCTCCCTCTGCAGAGCTGTAACAATATTTGCTGACATCTTGTCATTATCATTTAGATGAGGTAACAGACATGGAACCCCCCCCACAGGAATAGACACACCTCTGATTTAAAGTTTGAAAAATCCTTTTGTGCTGGCAGTAAACATAAAACTTGTATATCATAAGTGACTTTCAGCCTCTGTGAGTGACTGAGCTCATCTCTTACATCATGCCCTCACCAACATGGCGCTTGGTCCTGCTGTTTGTGTTTATTACGTCGTGCCACACGTTCAAACCATCCTCAGGATATTCGGTCTGTTTTCATCCTAACCTTCTCGGGACAACACACACACACGCACACTTCCTCGGCTGATTATTGTAACATTTGCATGGTCATGCTGTTGTCCTCTCTTGTGACGGCTTTGGGTTGCACTCAGTTGCTCATAGTTGCCTCCTCATGTCTCTGCAGCAGCTGGTGCAGTGTTTCTCTTATTCTCAGCCTTGCATGAACTGTAGTGTCAGATAAGCGCTCACACAGCCTGTCACTCAGCCCGTATTGTAGCAGATTTAGTGAAACCCCCCCGCCCCCGAAGACCGCTGCCCTGTTCCCTCCAGCCACTGAGAGCGGAGACCTAAAATCAGACCTACATGTTGAACGCCCTATATTTCTCTATAGAAGCGAAGGACGATGTCAGCTGTTCCTTTTTAAAAGTAGAGTTTTCTTCCTCACTTTTTCTACACCTGTGAAAGTAGAATATTAAATTTTCAGTAAAGATGTATTCTTAAAGACAGTGTTAAATGCACAAGGATTAAGTTGGAGTTTGTTCATTATTTTGCCTCGGGCACAGATTCTTGTTTGGACTGCACATGTGCACTACAGGTCTTCGTCTCTGCACCCCTCTCACCTCCCATCTCAAACATTCTTGTTTTTGTTTGAAAAATGAAGAAAAAGTGCCATATTTGATATGGTGATTTTTATATCTGATCAGAAAGAGAATATTAAAAACAACCAAAAGGTTTGCATGGAAAATCTTTTTTTGCGTTGTTTATTTTTGTTGGTTTTTGCCTGTGATACACGTTGCCAACAAAAGCTGGAAGTCTTCTTGATTACGATTCAGTCAATTTCACTTTTTTGTTTTCCCTTCTTTTTATGTTCTTCACTGTTTTGTATTGACTTTTAATACAGTTTTAACATTTTCTATGAGCCACATTTATTTTTCTCGTTCCTGAAAGCAATTATTCGGTCTGATGTTAAAAAAAGAAAAGAATTGTCCTTCTTCCATCAAGTGAAAACTTGCCCTGGGGCAACACTCTTCTAGCCAGCTTTCACATCTTTAAATAGGCTGCTATTTTAATTCAAAAGCATAACGCGCAGCCCTGAAGGCTTGAAGGCATGCAGCCCAGATTTAATGCAAGGGTCAAATGTCCTGACAACACTCGGACGTACGGTGTCGTGGTGAGTAAATCAGAGGAGAAGAAGCTGGAGACTAATGTCACCTGTGGTATTCACTCTGTTGTGTTTGACACACAGGCTGCTGAGGATTTCCCTGGATTATATTGTTAAATATCAGTGATATTCAGCTTTTGTGATGCGTTTTTTTTTTTCTTTCTTTTTTCCACTCTTTTTCCATTAAGTAGTTTAGAAACAGAAAAAAAGGGTCACTTTTCCACATCTGAAGTCCAGACATTTTGTGAAAGGAAGAAGCAATGTCTTACTCATCCAAGCTTCCCGCTTCCTGGAATGATGAACGGCCACGTCGGAAAGTGGAAATCGATCTGAGCTCGCCTGGTTTGGCGGTGTTTGAGTTGGAAAGACTGCTGTTCACAGGCAAAGCCATCATCAGCCACGCAGATGAAGTGTGGCCGAGGCTTTACATCGGGGACCAGTAAGAATCTCATGTTTTCCTCTCGCTGGAAAAATGTTCACTTGCTTTGAACTCGGTCTGAATCAAGCGTGCGTGTGAAACGGAAACGGCTCGTAAATCAGTTTTAAAAAAAAAACAAAATGGGTAACATAAGAGCTGTCGAGCTGCCCTTCCCGTTGGATACTTGCACGACTCCAGCTGCGGTATGTGAGTGTCCACTGACACCAGGCCATGAAGGCATACCGCAGCTCCAGGCTATTTTCCTCATGCGTAGCTTAGATGGTCTGCATATCAGTCACTATGTTGCATGCTTAATTCATGTTTCATTGAAAAAAAAACTTTAAAAATACTTTGCATGTTCTTTTTTTGTGGAAGATCATGTCAGAAAACTACTTCTGTTATGACTTTATCAGGTTTGTTTGGTTTGCTTTCCATTTCACACAACATGCAAAATGATTCTCTAAAGCCTCAACCATCTTTCCACATATACAGACTAAAAGTTTTATCCAAGCAAATCGGCTCTAACTCAGATTGAATCCAGAGCATCTTCAAATAAGTTTTGACACAGGTCTTCACTTTGACTAGGCCGTTCTAACACATGAATACGGTGTGATCTAAACCCGTCCATTACACCGCTGTCTTTATGTTTAGGAGTTTTGCATCCTGCTGGAAGTTGAGCGTTCACTTTGTCTCAACTCTTCTGCTGCCTCTTAACAGGTTTTCTCCCCAACACTGACTTGGATTTAGCTCCTTCTACCAGCATCCCCACAGCATGATGCTGCCACCATCACCATCGATTGCAAAGAAGACAGTGATTTATAATGTTTAGTTTTCCATTTCCTTTGGCTTTCTCTCAGAATCACTGTTATTGATTCAGTGTGATGTTTTGTGCATAAACACAAAATTTTGTGTTTATGCACAAGATTGCTCCTTCCTGAACTTTTTTTTTTTCCACTTTTTATTATATTTTTGTCCAGGTGATAATTTGTCTGTTTTACATTTAAATAATAATAATAAAAAAAATTCACAAAGGTATGTCCTTAAATCCAATATGTTGTGTTTTTATATAGACACAGCGCAGAAAACCTTGCCGATCTGTCCAGGCATCGCTTCACCCACGTCCTGAATGCTGCTCACAGCAAACGAAGGGGGCAACCAACCGTATACGAGCAAATGAAGATCACCTACATGGGCATAGAGGCACACGACTCCTGCAACTATGACATGAGCATCAACTTTCAGGCTGCAGCTGACTTCATCCACAGAGGACTAAGCAAAGGAGGCATGATGGCAACCACTTACAAATCATCACCGGTACTTTCAGAAGAAATTGACTAAATTTCACGTCTTTCTTTGATTCTCAGGGAAAGTTCTGGTGCATTGTCATGTGGGAGTCAGCCGCTCCGCCACCCTGGTGCTGGCTTACCTGATGCTGAAGCAGAAGCTGTCTCTTGTGGAGGCTATTTGTGCTGTGAAAGACAATCGGGGTGTGATCCCAAACAGAGGTTTCCTCCGACAGCTCATTAAACTGGACAGGCAGCTCTTTGGCGAACATCATTAAATCACGAGAAACCACAATCTCAAGAACGTTCAAGCTCCTGCATCTGAAACCAGCTCACTTCTTCTGGTTTGGACTTGATGTGTGCAAGGAGGAGATCCTAGAAACAGTTTTTTGGTTGTTTTATTTATTTATTTTTTTTTGTTTGACGTCTTAGAATTTAAAAAATCTTTTATTTTATGACTTACAGACGTCCAAAACTCTAAAATCCTAATGTGAAAACTCATGAAGGTATTTAAGTAATATGTAACAATCCACTTCTGGAACATAAAAACAGTTGATATTTGATGAGAAGGTGAGCGTGTTAACTTATCTAGTCTCTAAATATTTTCTGGAATACATTTATACTATTTGTATCCATTTCTAAAACAGGGAAAACTCCTCATATGCCAATCTATTATCTTCAAATTAAAAGAAAATTCGCTGCAAAAATGTAGCCTTTGTGGCTGAATTTTCCCTGTTTACTAAAACCTGGTCTCCAAACAAACAAATTCAATTGATTTGTCCAACATTAAAACTGTTTTTATTCATGAAACCTGGACTGAATCTTGGTGTGAGAGAGGGAGGAGCTCAAAGAGCGATTGGAGGCAACTTAGGATAGATGTCTAGTCGCTCAGTGATGAAAAAAATTAAAAAATTTTTTTAAATGAAATTAAAATGTAATGGTTAGATTTTTAAACCTAATGAATAAGCTTACTAATTGCTAGAGTGATGCACATTGGTTTTGAAGACTTGTCCACTGATGACATATCTGCATCAGTTGGCAGGAAAACAGCTGCAGCCCTCATTAGCACACCTGAGACAAAAAAAAAAAAAAAAGCTCCACCCTCTAAACTGGAGCATTACTAAATGACGTGTACATTAACCATATGCTGGCTGAAATAATTGCACAATATTTAAATGTTTTCAGGAAAGAATGTTTCATCAGAAATGAAGCTACTCTGTCATTATCTGTCCATGAACAAAACAACTTTTCTGAACCCACACACTGTTAATGTCCAAAACAGTTTTCCATTAAGTGCATTGGATTTTTACTGGGGGTTGTGTATGTAAGAATCTTCACATATATACACAAAATGCCGTTTCCAGTGACTATTTCTGTATCACAACCATTCAGCCGCTTCATGACGAGCCTCCATACTATTAGCACCTTAGACTTTTATAAAATTATATAAATGTTTCTCAATCAAGTTGGAAACTTAACTTGTTCTTGGGCTGCTAAAGTTTTTACATTTAATTAAGGGTGTATTGGCACACGATGTTCTCCAATTATGTCTTGTCAGGACATTTATTTTTGTACTCAAATTTTCTTTAAATAGTGGAAATATAACACTTTTTACATATGAGTGACAACATAAAGTTGTTCCTTGACAATATTACCACCTGCTGGACGAAATTACTTAAGTCTTTGCAGATAGAACTTGAAAACCCCAGAGGTCCATGACCTACAAAAATCAATTTCTGCAGGGCAGTCCAGTTCCAGTCCTCTGGAGCAACACTCCTACAGCACAAGCTGCTGCGCGCTCTGCAGGAAACATCTTATTTATGGGTAGAATTGTGAACCCAAGCATCTGATGTTCTAACTAAAATTTCAAAGTGAAGTCTTTCTGCTCTCTCAATGAATGGAATACTTTGCTTTGCAAATAAAACACATTTCAAAGCATGCACTAATGAAATTTTTGCAAGAGGCAAACTAAAGATTTTTATTGGCTTCTGTATAACTTAACTGGATTCAGAGACATGTGTCGAGCCCAGTGTTATAGATTCTGTCTTTTCTTCTGTCTTTTAACCTCCTTTTTAATTTGCTGACATGCCACAGTGAACACAAACGTGTTTTTGTATGACTGATGCCAGGCAAACGCAAACATACTGAAACCGATTAGACAAGCCTTGGTACAGACTGCAGAGAATAAAAAGTTGAACTTGCGCTACAATCTTTGCCTCACTTACTTACATCCATACGGTGAGCTAATTGTGGCGCCAGTGCTGGATGGGGAATGTAACTGCATCTGTTCCATTTGTATGACTTGTAACATTTGATCATTTTTCAGCTTTAAAGAGGACCTGGTGTGTCTCTGCTTATGGTGGAGCAGAGAGACAAAAATGAATGACACCAGTTTAACCCTGACAAGCCAGTACAGTCTTCTTCCCCCATGAGAAGTGATGTTTCTGTAGCTGAGGATCAGCTCAGAAGCTCCTGCTTTCCGGCACTGCCTTTCCCACATTGCATGCAAACCCTTTAAAAAAAAAAAAAAAGAGTATCAGTAGAACCGAGAAAAGTGGTTGATTATAAAATGTTCAACAGCTTTGAGCAATGAGGGCTGCATTCAATAAAGAGAGGTTGTTTTTTCATTTTTTTTTTCCACATGCTTGGTAGCTAATGAGCATGCTCAGAAAAGAGAATGCAGCCATTTTGACATTGCTGAACTACAGCCCAACTTTCTGCAGGGAAACAAGTCAGCTGGACTTTCAGAAACAATTGTCTTTATATCTGTTATTCAGAGCTAAAACTTGTAAGTATTGGTTTAACAACTGTGAAAAAAAGATGACTGCTGTTTTGTCTTCTCTTCTAATTTAAAGGTGTAAAATTTTCAGGCTGTATATTTCATACAGAAAAGATCTGAATTGTGAGTTTTTTTTTTAAAAAGGCCTGTGTCTTAGCGTTTGTGTAACTTCTTTACAAGCTCGGTTTCCCATAATGAGTATTTGTTTGGTGCAGAGCATGTAAGGGACTTGATTTCTCCCAAACAGTTGGTTTTCTGTCCTCTGTCCATAAAACGAGCAGTTGTGGCGAGAGTCATTTGTGAAAACAATTTAGCGAAGAACCTGCTTGAAAGTTAATCTATTTTTTTCCCCCCATTTAACTTGACCTGTTTGAAAAATCTATGCAGTTGTGACTTAAGAACCCACCATCTTTACATTGGCTGTCTATGATCAGACAAGTAGAGGGCAGTTAAGTCACGTGCAGGTGAAGAAATAGAAACCTGCAGACTCGAATAACTGCAGTTTTGACCCTCTGTTTCAGATCACCATGGTCTCCACAACTGTGGTTCTCTGGACCTTCTTGACAGTGATCTGTGCAGCAAGAGGCCTTCAACCCATAGAGCAAGCTAAACAAGCCACACACCTCTGTGCAGACAGCAGTGATGACAAACTCTTATTGGTGTCCTCAGCAAACAAAATGTTTGCCATCAATCTCTACAGGAAGTTGGTAGCTCGTGCTTCCTCTAAAGGCCAAAACATTTTCTTCTCCCCACTTAGTGTCTCTGCTGCCTTGGCTGCTCTGTCTGTGGGGGCTCGAGGAGAGACCCATCAGCAGCTGTTTCGTACTCTGGGCTTCAACATCTCTCAGCTGACTCAGTCGGATGTAAACGCCTCGTTTCTGAAAATCATTGGAAGTATGGCATCTAAGATCAGCCAAGGCACCGCTGTGTTTGTTGACAACTTGTTCACACCAAAGCCTGACTTCCTGCATGTCCTGAAGCAGTGGTATTTCACTGAGGCCTTCAAGCTTGACTTCACTAACCCTACAGAGAGCGCCAATACCATCAACCAGTATGTCTCTGGAATGACCAGTGGAAAAATAACTCTATCAGAAACCCTGGATCCAAGCACAGTCCTGTATCTTCTGAGCTACGTCTACTTCAAAGGTAAATGTCTTGTAGCAGGGTTTTCATTTTTTGACTCTTGTCCTTTACCCTATATGTAACCATGTCTGTTTAAACAGGAATCTGGGCCACTCCATTTGATCCAAAGCTGACTACGTTAGATTTGTTCAGAGTGACTGAAACCACTGAGGTCTAATATCTAGCACACAGAGCAGCTGAATGATGCACTCTTCTTCAGCATCAAGTTGACCAGCTGAACGTCTCTTTCAGGTTCCAGTCCCGATGATGAGGATGGAAGCTGATGTGAACACTTATTATGACGAGGCCATTGCTACATCAGTCCTCCATCTGCCCTTCAACAACTCTTACGCCATGCTGCTGCTTTTACCTGATGCCATAGACACACTGGAGAACAAGATCAGTCCTGCACATATCACCAGGTGGTTGCAGCGGATGAAGCAAAGGTCGGAAGAAGCTTTATTGTGGCACCTTTTTGCTTGTGCATTCAGCTCTGTAGTTAATTGCCTCCCCCCTTTTTTTTTTTTTTTTTTTTTGAACTTAGGAAGTACAAGATCTCTGTTCCCATGTTCTACATGAAGATCTCTTACAAGCTGAATGATGTGCTAACTGAAATGGGAATGGCAGGCATGTTTGGAAATCATGCAAACCTGAGCGGCATTGCAGATGGACAGAAACTGGTTGTGTCTGAGGTAAGCAGTGGGAACAGAAGAAAACCTTCTTCCCTGTCAATTGTTTCTGACTATTTTTTTTGTGCCATTAGGTTGTACATCAAGCAACACTGGATGTTGATGAGACTGGGGCTACTGCTGCTACTGGTGTTGGCACCTCTTTTTTCTCTCTCATAGCCCCAGAATTGAAGTTTAATCGTCCTTTTATAGTGATAATCACTGAGGTCTCTGCAGAAAACATACTTTTTATGGGCAAGATTGTGAATCCAAACATCTAAGGTTGTTTTTACATCATGAATAAATAATAAGAGGTAGTCTTTCTTGTGTCTCCTTTGGCTGTATGGAACATTTTGAGGGGGGAAGGACTTAAAACAAACTTCAAAGTAAGCAGTGGCCCAAATTGGTTTCACAAGCTTGTATAACCAATTAGGACCACTGCTTGCTGAGAAGTGGTGCTTTTAATTTCCTCCAAAAGACTTTTGTCTGGGATTCAAGGTTTCAAAGCATAAAACTGACACAAGTTTTGGAAATCCATCATTTAAAAAAAAAATTCAGACCAGGTTTAAGTCTAAAATTCTGCAGTTTAAGGGGTCCAAAACATATTAATGTTGACAGAAATAAAGTGCTCCCACTCAACCAATCAGAGCCAGGGGGAGGGTCTTGGATCAAGCTAGTGTGCAAGTTTGCTTCTAAATTTTTTTCAGCAGCAGAACTTTGGTGAAAGTTGAACTGTGTTAAAAATAATAAAACTTAACCTATCCTCATAGGTTGACATGAAAACAGACTAAGTGCTTTCACAACACCCTTTCCAGATTCCCTTTAAATTTTGACATTGTCATTAAAAACAGGTGCTCATAATTACATTATATTCAGATTTGATGTATTGGCATCACAAACGTGTTTAATTTGAAGCTTCCCCACACTGAGGTAATGTCATAATCATTCTGTTTCATATGAACTGTTCACTTAATGTCACAGAGCAACAAATGAAACATCTAATGAGTGGACCAGTGCTTTTTCACTGCTTTTCAGCATTTACTAGATGAGTGTTATAACTGCAACAAAATAAAAGCAGACTGTTCTGAAAAATACTGAAATATGAAAGTTCATATTTTGCTTGTAGATACATTAATTTGCCATTTCCCATCTCCCAAAAGATAGACAAAACATTCCTCCAGTGGTTTATGCATAATTGTTTTGGGATGGAAGCATAACGACAAATAAACTAGAAATTTCTGAGGAAATTTAAACAGGCCTGCCAAAGTGCACCAGTCAGTTGGACCCAAATCAGTGGTTCTGGTGCTAAAAAAGAGAATCAATGCTAAGCTTAGCTAACCTGTATGCAGTGCTATGTGGGGAATTACAACCATTTTTTGGCTAACATGGACTTATTCATTCAGTATGCTAAAATTAGGGCATGAGCTAAAATTAGCTAAAATGCTTATGTTAGCATGTTAGTGGCATGAGCAGTATCACAAGCATGTTGTCTTACTTTGACTTACTCCATTCAATATGCCAAACATAATTAATAAAAAAAAAATAGCTAAAATAGTTATTTTAGCAAAAAGGTTAATGCTAGTGTACTGCCTTGTTCCACTTTTATTTTTGAAACTTTTAGTATGCTTCATTTTAAAGGGCCACACTAATCCCTTGTGTAACAGCACTTGACTTAAACCAACCATATAATGCCCAAAAAGTGCAATTACCTCCTGTGAAAAACCCAAACATTTTGGGTATCTGAACACTTTAAATAAAAAAGCCCAGGTGGCCTCTTGGTTGAAACTTTGAGTTGCAAATTGATTAAACAATGATCAGCCTGCTAATAACTGGGGTCAAAAGCTTTGTGCATAATTTCTTGTAAAGCAATGAGCCTGTTCTATACCAAGTGCAAGGATCGACAGTAAACTGTTTTAACTCCAAATATACTCATTTTTCAAAGCTGCAGGTTTGTTTTTGTTTTTTTAGGTTTTGTGAAACCTGAGGCCATGTTTGGTCAGTGGCTGACTCAATGCTATAGTCGCCTGGACAGAGTAAATAATATCAAAGTTCACCAAATCATTGATATAAACAGGCTCTGTCTTCATCCAGCCTTTATTAGGTTGGACAAACCGAACAGACGATAAAGGGTAAGTGCATCAGTGTTTTTTTTTTGTTTGTTTTTCTTTACAGAAAAGCTCATCTTAAAAGGTATGTTTGCTAAGAACATTAGAGGATTTTTTATTTGTAAGGTGCTATTTCTTTTAAAATCCAGATTTGCAACGAAATTGTAGGAAACGGCTACATTTGTGTAGGATTCATCGGTGTCGAATGTGTTAAGAGTTGATATATTCAAATGTAGCCGGGACATTATGTCCATTATGCACTCTTCCGTTTGCCCATATAAGGAAGACGTTGTGTTTTAGCGCAGCTGATTCATTATGGAGTCAGGCAATCGGCATTTCCATTTAAAAGCGGGTAGATCGCTGAGAGGGTGAGAGTCCAGGCTGATTCCTCTGCAGGTATGGTTAACATGAAGCGTGCGCTGAGTTCCGAATTATTTCTGATGGCTCCATTTTATTGTTGCAGGAAACCTCCTCTTGGAGAGGACATACAGAGCTCTGCTAGCTTTTAGCGAAAGTAAAGGCAGTTTA